ATATTACATTCCAGGTAAACAGGTATCAATAATGATCAAAACAAATGGGAGTTATCATTGAAATTATTTTCTAATTTCTTTCAGTGATATCGCTTAGTAATATTATCAACAAGAATAGCTGTTTGGAGTATGGGACATTTACAATTCATATGTAACTCAGGCCCTGGTCACTCTAGTGTGCTCCCTAACAGTTGAGTTGCTCTAGAGGCAATTCTATACCTGGGTAAGATGTAAGCATGGCCAGCTTTAAATATTTAGGTTATATGTACCATTTTATGTTATTATACCATCACTCAGAGGTTGAATAATGTGTGTGTGTTTTATTTATATATATACAGTACATAATAAGCAGTACAATTTTATGGGCTCTTGATTTGGAATGATCCTGTGACCAGGTTTTTGTGATCCATCTCAATGAAAAAAATCTTCTCAATATAATATAATATAATGATAAGTAAAAAAAAAAATATCATGCCCATGGCAATGAATGACTAGTGAATGATAATTTTGTGTTGTTGATTTAAAAATAGCATAGCAATATAAAAACATTCACCTTAACAAATGAATAGGCTTTAAACACCTGTGTTCTTGCATAGTCTTTAAGAGGCAACTTGTACCTAGTTGTTAACAATGTTAATAATGCCATAGACTTTGTTGTGCTGTGGTTATATTTGTTTACCACTGCTCACAACTGCATTGCAATTTTACACAAAAACTTTGGATGTAAGAACTGTCCTTTCTATAAAATACATACAGTCATGGCCAAATATATTGGCAGCCCTGCTTCTCTGTCAAATAAGGCACCACTTCACGCAGAAAACTGTTGCAATCACAAATGTTTAGTCATTTTCATGGTTTTTTTCTTTTGTTGGTATTGGTATGACACAAAAAAGTGGAGAAAAAAAAGCCCAATCTGACACATTCCAAGCAAAACTCCAAAAATGGACTGAACAAAATTATTGGCACCTTCTCCACATTGCAAGAAATAATTGCATTCCAAGTTTGGATGCTTCCGGAATTTGAAATGTAACGCACTTGCATCAATTAATAGGTGCTGACAATATTGAAATCACACTGGCAACCAGTTAAAATGGTGAACAATTTACTCAACCTTTCTGTTGTGTGTCTCTGTGTGCCACACGGAGCATGGAGAAGAGAAAGAGCAGCAAAGAATTGCCTGAGGATTTGAGAACAAAAATTGTGAAAAAGCATGGACAATCTCAAGGTTAAAGTCCACCTCCAGAGATCTGAAACAAAATGACAGCTTTTTGGTAAAGTCCATGATTCTACTGTTTTCAGAAAAAGAAATGAGGCCTTTAAAGAAAAAAATACAGTCCCTACAGTCAAACATGGTGGAGGTTCACTGATGTTTTGGAGTTGCTTTGATGCTTCAGACACTGGATGTCTTGACTATGTGTATGACATTATGAAATCAGAATTCTGGGGTGCAACGTAGGGCCCAGTGTCAGAAAATTGGGTCTCTGTCAGAAGTCATGGGTCTTACAGCAGGACCATGACCCAAAGCACACGTCAAAATGCACCCAGAAATGGTTTCAGACAAAGCGCTGGGAGAGTACTGGACTGGCCAGCAATAAGTCCAGATCCAAATCCCATAGAGCATCTGTGGAGAGATCTCAAAACAGCAGTTGGGAAAAGAAACCCTTCCAATCTAAGAGACCTGGAGCAGTTGGCGAAAGAAGAGTGGTCCAAAATTCCTGTAGAGAGGTGTAAGAAAATCATTGATGGTTATAGGAAGCGATTGATTTCAGTTATTTTTCCAAGGGCTGTGCTACCAAATATTAATTGAAGGTGCCAATCATTTTGTCCAGACCATTTTTGGAGTTTTGCGTGGAATGTGTCAGGTTTGGCTTTTTTCTTTCTTCACTTGTTTGTGTCATACCAATACAAACAAAAGAAATAAACATGAGAATGTCTAAACATTTGTAATTACAACAAGTTTCTGCGTAAAGTGGTGCATTATCTGACAGAAATGCAGGGGTACCAATATTTTTGGCCATTACGTTATATGCCTAATGCATGTAACATGTTTTTAGGGCAGACATAGTCAGTGAGAATTAGCATTAGTCTTTAAAAGCCTACAGTGACTAAAGAAGGAGCTTAAATGTTTCTGATTGAATGACAGAATAGGTTTAAAGTGACCCATGCATTCCTCTTGTTATCTCAAGTGTGTATAGAGGTTGTTGCAAGCTCAATATTATTTCCTCTCTCATATCAAAGCTCTCTTACAACTTAGGTGGCAACAGTAAAACTTGGTGTAAAAGTCAACTTTACCCGTTTCCACGATACCATCTCTCCTTTCACCTGTTCCCACTGGTTGGATTTTGTTTCCATTGGCTAACCTTCTCCAATAGAAAAATAACAATTTTGGCCAATCTGGAACAGAGGGATGATGGAATGGCATCCAGGCAGACTGAACACGGAAATAATTTTGTAGGTAAAGTAGAGATTTACAGAGATTTACTGTTGCCATCTACACATTGCTAGAGAGTTGGGATATGGGAGAGGTAGCAAAAGCCAGTATCTATTCACAAAAACTGTTGGATGGGATAGCAGGGAGAATGGCAAGAGTCACCATATGCATTGTGTCAATTACAGGTGAAACTCGAATAATTAGAATATCGTGCAAAAGTTCATTTATTTCACTAATGCAACTTAAAAGGTGAAACTAATATATGAGATAGACTTATTACATGCAAAGCAAGATAGTTCAAGCCGTGATTTGTCATAATTGTGATGATTATGGCTTACAGCTCATGAAAACCCCAAGTCCACAAACCATGGTTGGGACACACACTGATAGATCAGTTATTACTGATGCCTTTTAGCCCTGTGGTCCAAGGTTCAAATCCCTTGCTTGATTCAATCTGCCTGAAGTTTTTACATTTAAATTTTTCTTATTATTTGTTATTATTCTTATTATTTGTGTGGCATACTTCAATATGCTTAAATTGTTCTCCACAGATTAAAAAAAAGCAAGCGAAAAACTGGTGCTAAACTTATCTTAATGCTTGTATGTCCCTTCTAGGAACATTATACTATAAGCTTTACTGGGGAAATGATTAGTGTGAATGTCTCTATGTACTCTGGATTGTATGTCACGGATACTCTAATAATTTGGGTTGCTTCTAGGTAAACAATAATAAATCTGTAAAATGGTTTATTCAGCAACTATTAAACAGCTATTAAAGGAATCCTGTACCGATTACATATCTCTCTGAAAGTATTCGTTTCCTGGTTTTTCTGGTCTGGATAGGATACTGAAGTCACCACTAGACAAACAGCATTTTCAGAAGGTCAGCCATATTGTTCTCTGTACAAGCTTCTTTTAATATAGGCACAAAGTAGGGGATCTATACTGCATCTATAAGCACTGGCAACAAACAATTCAACATATCTGAATTGTTTGGAGAGATTTTGGTCATACACATACCCTGTTTTAAGACACCTCGCTAATATGCACACAACTAGGTAATATAATTAAGCCACACTCACTAACTGTGAGTCTAAAACACTGCTTAATAAAAACACTGCCCAATTCAAACAATGCAAAAATTAAAACATATTTTATCTCTACCCTGTTATATATTATATAACAGGGCAGAGATAAGTATAAAATAATTTTTGTCACTATTCTGAACAAGTCTGTGATGATAATCTAAGAATTCATAAGATAGATTTCAGGTAATTTGCCATTCCCTCAATGCTTCAAACAGGTTAACAAATATCAGTGAAGAGGCTGGCATGAGTAACATTAGAACTAGCTAATGGCCATATGTGGTTTATGAGCAATTGGTTGGGGATCTTCATTGGTGTATAATTTTAATTACTGCCTCTGGAATCCTGATAAATGTGATACAATGCTTTTCTGGAGATACTTAATCCAGGAAGCGATAATTTGTTATTTTCAATCACTGTTGTTTCTTTACCTTTACCTGAAAATTGCAGCATCGCAAGCGTTTGCAGCTCCAAATGCCTAGGGCCATATGCCTATGCTTATGCAGAATGCCTCACATCCATTCTTTTTTGTGTGAGTCACAGTGAACCATGGTCTCCAAGTTAACTGAAAATTGATGGAACAGTCAGGTGTAAAATATATATATATATTTATATATATATAAATTGCCTTAGAAATCTATGGGTTCTGCTGTGCATGGGCCGGCCTGCCGTAGAAAAAAATTGCAACTGGATGCAGGTGGACAGGGACCATAGCTAGGTAGATCAACTTACTAGGTTTGAAGAAAAAGTTTTCAGAAAAAACATTTCAGAACATTTCCTTCACCTTTAAAGTAATTGATTCAGTATTACTATTTTAATTCTATTGGCAGTTATAGTTTATTATTAAACTGTGTTAGATCTTTCTTTGTGGCATTTCTTCCCTGGAAAAAAATACCTTTCTAAGTCTTATTTACTTATAATAGTTATGAAAGATACGTAGTATCAATCTGCAATGACCAAGGGCTGAGCAGAAAAGTGACGCTACACAAAATAGGTAGTATATCATATAGGATTGTTCCTCACGTTAAGTACCATTTAAAATATATTGTGGACAGTCTAATATATCTCCATCATCCTTCTGTTTCCTGTTATGTAAATAACACATATAGGTAATTATAGGACTATAAACAAAAGGTAAACAAAATGCATGCCTCAGAAATAAATTCAGATGAAACAAGAAAATATTACAGAAAATAGTAAACAACGTTACATTTAGTACATTACACAAAATATCAAAATTATTAGTAAAATTTTTATAATTTATTTTCTAACAATGTACTTTGTTTTTCTCATAAACCGATTCGTTATTTACATTAAATATTGTTGTATATATCTTTAAAAAAATCTTGATAAATATATGTGACGTGAACTAGGTAGTCAATCTTCTTTGAGCTGCAATAGGTGAACAGTGACACTTAGTACATGGATGTTCCCTATGTATGAAATGCAACTGCTCTAGCAAGTGAAAATTGCTACCTGTGCAATTCAAACCTTAGATTCATGTGACAGTCTTTAAACTATGCCTGCGTCATATAGCAGTGTCCCAGAAGACAGTTTGTTGTTTAGAATAGGGAGGAGGACTGTACTTCTTTGACCCGTTGGTCTTCTTCCAGCTGGGTAGGATAGGCATGCTCTCTTGCTTACAGAGTCCCTTTTCTGTTTTTTGTCTTGCTTTAATCTCTTTGCACAGAGTACGCTTTTTCTCAATCATGTCCATCATTTTGTGGTCACCATAAAGCCACTGCATAGGGGTCATCTGTCAAATAGAGCCACATGAGATATTGTTTAACAATAAAAATCTGACGGTGAATAAATAACAATGGGAGAGGATAGAGTTGTTTATTTATTTTATTTTATTCATTTTTAAACAAACATTTTATAGGAAAACTCTACTTGCAAATGTCTGAGTGGATGGCAGTTAAGTGTATGTGGTGCGTAAGGCCTTATACACATAAATACTGAATGCTAATGTGCAGTTGGCGCTCGTCATGTCATGCTGCATGTTTAATGTTGTGCATGTGGAAGCTGGCCCAGGTGTGTTAGTGACGTAAATAAAAACAGCAGTGAATAGGTGCTGCATATTCATTTTTACTGTTGTTTAAATGCATTCTACTAAACAGGACACTGGGGAGCATCCCCTTAGGGTGAGAGACCTGCTGTAAGCGCTTGTCTATAGGAATCCTTAAGTACAACTGCATTTTTATTAAAAGCTACTTGTCCCTCTAACAATGCCAGTGTTATGTGTTGCCTTTGTTGAAGAGAAATGCTGTTTTCCACAATACCGTTTGCAGCCTCCTGGAACTTCTCCTGTGTTCTGCAATGTATACTCTCAGGAGACAGTTTGTTAATTTAGTCTCATATACAGGGCCGCCGTCAGGGGGGTACGACCAATACTCATGTAAGGGGCCCGGGCAGCCTCCGGGGCCCGCCCGGGACCCATACATGAGTATCGGCCGACGGTGAAGGGCGAGGAGGCGGCCGGGCCCAAGCAGCAGCCGGGTATGGAGGATTGGCCCTAGCAGCGCAGGGCCCCAGCATTGCTGCTCCAGTGGCTTCAAGACAAGCTGGGGCCCCATCAGCGGCGCTGCTCATCTGAGGGCGCAGGTCAGTGGCAGATCCGAGTGGGGGG